GCTTCGTTTTGGTCGGTAAAAAGTCATACCATTAGTTTATTATATACAGACCAAAACGAAGCCGTTATTCCATGACTTAACGGCCTCGTTTCGTTCAGTATACTAGCAGTATCAAAACGAAGCCGTTATTCCATGACTTAACGGCCTCGTTTCGTTCAGTATACTGGCAGTAACGAAAAGAAGCCGTTACTGCATGACTTAACGGCCTCGTTTCGTTCAGTAAACTAGCAGTATCAAGACGAAGCCGTTATGCCATGACTTAACGGCCTCGTTCCGTTCAGTATACTAGACAGTTTTAGATAACAAGACGCGGACGTCAAGAGGACGTGGAAATGACGTATGCATCTCGCGTTCACTTCCGGGTCACAGAATAGGAAGTTATACCAGAAGCGTAACTCTAGTAGTTTCCCTTATTGTTTGACGTCCACGAAAATTTTTAACTCGCTCATGTCAGGCCACGCCATCCTGGCTAGTACAGCCGGAAGTTTTTATCAGGATTTGGTAGGTACAAAGTGCCGGTTGTACTAGCCAGGATGGCGTGATTGATGACGAATCGCTTGAAAAACGCGGACAAATATTTGCTCGAGTTACGCTTCTGGTATAACTTCCTATTCTGTGTCCGGGTTTTAATCTGGGACGGCTTGTTTGTCTTTCTCGAAGCAAATTTTTGTTTTCTTGTTACCTGTTCATTCCTGTATTGTTTTCAATCAGTTGGCAAGATATGTGCAAGAAAAGGCTATATAATACTGGCTAAGTATTTCCTGATGAATTAGTATGAACATTCAATAAGTTTTTTTTAGAAAAAAACCTATATTTCGGTATTTTGAAAAGTGAACTTTGTTGCATCATTTGGAATAAATACAATAGCTGCAGGTATTGTTTACGAGCTAAATGCTTTAGTTTGTAGCCTATTCAATCAAGTTTGTCAACTGTTCAGTATAAATATAGCATCAGTGTTCACATTGGTAAAATTTAATACTGTTTACGATAGTTTTTCACGCTGGAAAGCGTTTTTTTGCTTGTCTTACTTTTTGCACTGTTGTGACAGAGCAACTAAAATTGATTGAGTTTTTACTGCTTTTAAGTGCTTTTATTTTTCTATTTTCCCACGTTTTCCTGATTTTAAACAGTTGTTAATATAACTTCAGTTTAGTTTGTTCTAAAATATTTGTTTTGGTGAAGATTACTAGCGGTATTGAAGTGGTTATTAACAATGCTTGCAGTTTTGTTGATTTGTTTATGGCGACCGAAAGTATTTGTCGAAAATCAACCGTCGTCTAAAATTTAGCGAAATACAGGAAAAACAACCTTGTCAATGGAAAAACTTTAGCTAGTATCATTAAACAATACATGGGGAACAAAATAGGATGATTTTTATTATGCATAGTCTCATATTTTTTTCAAAAGAAGCAAAAATCTGTGACGTTCTAGAGAGGACGTGAAAATTGTATTTTCACGTCGTGAAATCGTCCAAGACGACGTCGCAAACCAGAAGCTGACGATAGTTGGCGCCAAATGACGACATCCACGTCCTCTTGACGTCCCCGTCTTGTTATCTAAAACTGTCTAATATCAAGGGGGTGAATGCTAGCTTTCAAACGCGCACTGGCTAGGACCCTGGTGTCAGCATTTGATGACGAATTACGGGTTACGCCAAAATCATAGGCCTTCTGTGTACCTTCTTCTGTGACAGTATGCTAACTGTAACTGCTATATATGTACATATGCTTTTATAAGAACAGGTATAAAGATTTTGAAACAAAGAGTCAGCTCAATTCAGTGACAACTCTTGAATCGGCCATTTGATTGTTGTACCATAGCATACAGTAAAATGCATATTTGTATAGCCCCAGCGAGTTACAGTACGGCCAAGAAATAACTTATCAAAATTGACTGGTGCATTTATATATATATATATATATATATATATATATATATATATATATATATATATATATATATATATATATATATATATATATATATATGAATATAATTTTTTTATTTAAAAAATTTAAAAAAGCTTCTACAGGCAATAAAAAATTTAAAAATTTTGTCCCAACGTTTCGCCGGTTAAGGCTTCTTCAGGGGAATGTTATAACTAGATCACGTCCGTTGAATATATACTACAAAGCTAGACTAAATTTAAATAAAAAGGGTGGAATGTGGACAATAACGAGCTAAAATTTAAAATGTTGTT